AGCAAGTCCTACAAGATAGTATGCAAATGTCGCACCAACTTTGATCCACTGTAACTTTGCATCCAAAATCTGAGTCGTAGTGAAGACTCAAAAATTACGAAAAATTCATATCTTTGTTTAGAAAATTCCTACGAATCTCCAACTTGCTCACAAGAATTGCCCACTATATCAAACACTCATACGTACCTTTGATGTATTTTTTCCTCGTCTAGAAATCGAGAAATGGAAAATTTTTTAGTTTCTACAAAAACGAAGCTATGTTGTTTCTGTTTATGTAGCTGTATACTACAAGCTCTCAGAAGTATAACCGTAGATTTTCAGCTTTCCAGAAGCTCTAGTTTTCGAAAAATATCAAATTTAGTTTTTCTCACTCGAGTGTTCAAAGCTAAATTAGGTAATTCTCGAAAACTAGGGCTTCTGAAGAGCTGAAAATTTACGGTTATACTTCTGAGAGCTTGTAGTATACAGCTACATAAACAGAAACAACATAGCTTCGTTTTTGTAGAAACTAAAAAATTTTCCATTTCTCGATTTCTAGACGAGGAAACAATACATCAAAGGTACGTATGAGTGTTTGATATAGTGGGCAATTCTTGTGAGCAAGTTGGAGATTCGTAGGACTTTTCTGAACAAAGAAATGATTTTTCGTGATATTTTGTCCCTTCAGTGCGACTCAGATTTTGGATGAAAAGTTACAGTGGGTCGAAAAGGGTGCGGACCTTGGCAGACTATCTTGTAGAGCTTGCTTTGCTCTTTCGAACGGTACCCTGGAGCCCTGTAAAGAGTATGAGGTGCATGACTTATCGCCGTAAGAAGTCAAAGTGTAACAAGACTTATGTAACAACCTAATAGTATTCTTTCACCATTTAATAGTATCGTGTGATAATCTGATGACAGAAGGCTGAAGCTACTTAAACTATGATGGAAACTTTAGAACATGCACAAACTTTCGTTGATTCCAATACATTTTCGAAACCAACTACGTAAATTTTAATGAGTACTATGAAAAATTGCCCTTTTTTGCCGCTAGAAACACAATAATTATGGTCGGATTTGCTCCTCAATAGGAGCATACGCCACCATTTGTTCTGTTGCTGATGGCTATCTACTCCTTTGTAGTGTCAAACGCAAATTGTTTTGTCAATTTTTAGGATGAAAGGATGCTTGGTGACTGTGGCTTTTTGCAGTGAGATATGTAACAGTAGATGCGTCTTGTAACGCTGATTCTAGATCTATGTTCGTTATCTGCTGTGCCACTCTCTGACAGAAACGTCAGTGTCCAGACTTTTTAGACTCTGAATCGGAGACAGTTCTTCTGAGCTTAACGTAAGCCTTTTTTTACTTAGACACTCTTTTGTAGTGCGTAAGTGAACATTCTAACGGTAATGTTGTCAACAAAACAGCGAAATTTTTGGTGGCACAAAATGTTCACAACTTCGGAAAAGTGCACAGCAGATACTGAGCAAATATGAAATCAGCGCTTCAAGATGCATTTAAAGGCAGTGTCCCTTTTCTTGGCCTTAGTTACGAATTTTCAAACTACCGTGCTTACGCACGTTTTTCACATCGTTCTGGATGGCGCTAAAGCGGTTTTTTTCGCAGGAAAAACTGCGCAAGAGGTAGACAGTAAGCTTCTTAGTCGAAAACATTTTTTGTAGTTCAAAAATGCAGTTTTTTTCTCCGTGCAAAAATTTATGTCGCATACGGGAACCGAATTTGCTGGCCTGAAGTATGCCTCAAAATTCAAAAAAAACTTGCAGAATTTCAAATACTATTGAAGGTGCGTATGTGTGCTAAAGATGCTGGGCGCACCCGACGGCTTAGAAATTCCGCTTCAGAAACCTCACTGAAGCTCTCACGCCGGTGTTTTTTAATATTGACATTCGCTTATGCAGGTTACCGCGAGGAATTGGGCAGGGGAGGTATGAGGGTAGATGGAGGGGGGGGGGGGTTGTACGGATGGGTTTCTTCAAGGGGGGGGGGGTCGTAATTGGGGGTCCCGGATCGCATCAACACGCTTGACCCTGCTTAGAACTACCTGTGTGGGAGCAGCCGACTGCAGCTCTGACAAAAACGTGAAAAATTTCTTCTATTTTTGGCCATGAAAAAAAAACCAGCAAATGCGCGTATAAATGTCGGTCAGAAAGGAAGTCGATAGTGGATTTCAAAAACAGATACAATAATCTCTTGACTTTTCGGGCATTCAACTTTTCTTAGATCTCGACCTTGAACTTTATATAGAGCAAACTATCGATCATCCTTAAAAACTCTCTTGTATGAAGAATCAGCTTAACTTTAATCACCATATTGTAGAGCTGCCTTCAAATTAGACTTACAGTATGGAACGGACAGTGTGGAGAAATTAGCGATCTCTTTATCACTGTAGCATTACGAGGAAACTTTGAAAATTAATCAGCTGTAGTGGGCACTCCCAAGTCTTCGGCTACTATGTCTTTGTCATTCTGTAGCCTTTCCGTGGCCCTGATTTCAGATATGAGGTAAAAAATGTGCGAATTTCCGAAAAGTCCCTTCAAACCCTATCTTGCAAGCGTGGGCACCTTCAATTGCCTGTGTGGGCGGAGCTCGATAGCGTAAGCGTGGCTCGGTAGCACTTTCCTGATTTCAGGTCCGTTTACAGTAAGAAAGGCATAGATCTAGTTTGGACGCTGCTTTTATAAAATCAACATGCGGGTGAATGGAACACAACTTTTCAGATTTCAGATTTTTAAAATTTTTTTGAAACGTCAGTCTGTTTACTCGGCGCCGACGACAGATGTTCCGACCGTAACCTAATGATGGAGAGCGGTGATTTGTACCGTACTATAAATCTAAGTTGAAGTCAGCTCTACTATATAGCGTTTGAAGCTTTTTTTTCGTTTGAAGCTTTTTTTGAAACGTCAGTCTGTTTACTTGGCGCCGACGGCAGAAGTTCCGACCGTAACCTAATGATGGAGAGCGGTGATTTGTACCGTACTATAAATCTAAGTTGAAGACAGCTCTACTATATAGCGTTCGAAGCTTTTTTTTCGTTTGAAGCTTTTTTTGAAACGTCAGTCTGTTTACTTGGCGCCGACGACAGACGTTCCGACCGTAACCTAATGATGGAGAGCGGTGATTTGCACCATACTATAAATCTAAGTTGAAGTCAGCTCTACTATATAGCGTTTTTATAAGGGACCCTCCCTAGATCAGATGTTTATTTATTTATTTATTTATTTATTACATACGCTCTAGGCGTTCCTCAAAAAGACAAAAATACACAGTCACTCATACTCTAATACCACGATAATTCATCATGTAGTTTGGGTCTAAGCATTCGGACTAGATTATTGGAAGTGTGATGAAAGCCTGTTTGTGACTGCTCTAAGACTGTAGTTAAAGACTACAGTCTTAGAGCAGTTAGAGCAAAACGTTTTAGTTAACTTTTAGTTAACTAAAACGTTCCATACGTTTTTGGGACATCGTGTCCCATATGTATTAGGGTGTCCCATGATTTTTCATCGTTTCTACTTTTTACCGCAATAACTCACATTCCGCTTGTTTCTTAAATTTCGCGATACCATACGACAGATCAAAGCAAGCTCTACGAGATAGCACTCAAACTTTTGCTCATAGTTTGCTCTATATTTCAAGGCCGAGATCTAAAAAAAGTTGAATGCCCGAAAAGTTAAGAGAATATTGTATCTGTTTTTGAAATCCACTATCGACTTCCTTTTTGACCGACATTTATACGCGCATTTGCTGTTTTTTTTCATGGCCAAAATAGAGACAAGAAATTTTTCACGTTTTTGCCAGAGCTGCAGTCGGCTGCTCCCACACAGGTAGTTCTAAGGTATAGAGGCCTGCAGGATCGCGAGAGTCGGACGTACGTACGGCCACTGCGCCGCGCGCGTCAGATGTGCGTCCGACGACTCAGGTAGGTGCCAGACTTATCCTGTTGAACAAGTTCATTCGGTTCACCACCTTTGCTGTTGGACAGTGCAGTGATTTGACCTGTAAACCGAACGAACTGGCGAAGCGGATAAGTCTGGCACCTGCCTTAGTGACATCGGACGTGCGCGGCGCAATGGCCGTACGCACGTCCGACTCTCGCGATCCGGCAGGCCCTATATGAGCCTTCGGAAGTATAATAATAAGTTCTTGGTCCTTTACAGGTAGTATTTTATAAGATATCTTAAGTTTAGCGCAGAAAAAACCTAAGAAAACGACTTTTTCGTCTTTTTGGTCTATTTTTGGTAGGTTTCTCGAGTTTTGACCACTGAAAAAAATGAGTAGATTTGCTGATAAATACCATCTTTAGAGAAAGTGTGAACGAACAAGTAAGAAGCTCGTGAAACTTTTTAGAATGGAGATACAATTTTCTCTTGACTTTTTGGGCATCTTCATCTTTTAGAAATAGAAATTATGGGAAATTTTAATATACGTACTCATATACAAGCTGCAAGACTCATGTAATCGTGAAAGTTTAGTAAGTATCGCTTCAACTCATAAACCCTTAGCAATACCATTTGAACCTGAGTATATTTGCAGCATCAACAAGGAAGGCAAAAAAGTTTCTTTTGAATAGAAGAAATGAGAGCCACGACGGCAGCTCATTTGCTAGTTGAAGATTTACAGCAGCAATTATCATTCCGCACTTGTTTTGATTTCGTATAATAATTGTTGTTCTTTCGAAGTGCGGAACTTTAACAGAACAGAAACTCACAAAAAAAGACTTTTCTTCTCGCTCCCGCGCGTCCCTGTACCAGTAACCTAGCATCCTTCTCATTTTCATTGTCGTTTTTTACAAAGGAAAGCGCTGGCTTCTTCACCGGAAAAGGAGCGCTTCTCTCATGACCAGTTTACATGGCAAGGGCATTCAGGTACTTGACGCAGTGGCGGCTTTCCGAATAAAGACGGTTTCTGCTTGGGTTGAGATGGTGGAAGTGCAAGTCATGGTCACTCCGCCGACGCGGGCACCAAAAAATCCATTCAGCTCTTTCTTTCGCCCGAAGAGGCAGATGTTTGCTATCCTACCAGCGTGGTGCCATTGTGAGCCAGAAACTATCACATGTCCTCCTGGAACTCCATGTCCACCTGGACAGCCTGGAATGCCAGGTGAGTAGTATTTGAGAAATGCTGTTTGAACGACACTCCTACTCCTTCAACTTTTCAGGAAATCCTGGACCACCAGGACCACCGGGTCAAGATGATATGACCGTTTATGCACCAATTCATTGCCCACCGCCTGACCATGCATGTGTCAGATGCCCATCAGGGCCGGCAGGTCCCCCTGGACCCGACGGACCTCCAGGAAATCCCGGAATGGACGGTAGGCCTGGAAGTCCGGGGACCCGTGGGCAGAACGGTCCACCTGGACCAGCAGGACCTCCAGGTGGAGCTGGACAAGCTGGCCATCCAAGCATGGACGGTCGACCGGGAGCACCTGGAATGGATGGAAGGTTGTGGTATGGTATGCCGGGAACGCGAGGAAGTGATGGACACCCGGGTTCAAGTAGAATGCCTGGACCACCAGGAAAAGATGCGCATTATTGCCCTTGTCCACGTCGCAGTCATATGCGCAGAAGGAAGAAGAAGTTCTTTTAAGTGCGCTTAATTTGATTGTTAAAGATGTTGATGATAGTGTATGAACTGCATTCAGTAACATGCTGCCATGACCATACAATCTTCTGAAATTACAGCTATCATGAGGTTACTTGATGAATCTATAAATAAATACATGCAGAATTTTTGCATGCGGTATCCTCTTTGTCAGTTCTAGATTGTTCACCAAAAACTGTAAGAATCAAGCGAGCACGCTTGATATCACCACCTCTCATTTTGAATTCTTTCAGCCTTTCTCTCTGCAACTTATGTGAAGTATAAAAGGCAAAAACATTTTAAAGGCACGTGCAAGCACTCAATTTCTAGCTTCGCTTACCTGGGTTTAGACGCTATGCTGAATTCGAAAATCCAACTCGGAGAGGCAAAAACCGAGACAGACCTTTTTCAAGGTGTCATATTTCGAATTTGAACTGGTGAAACAGTTCTTGCCAAGGGTAAGACCCAAAGTCGTAGTGAACTCTATGACCTTGACTGTAGCGGCCTGCGCACTTTGTTGCAGAGCAGAAACCACCGGTAAGCGAGGCTTTTTCCTTAGTGTATAAGTCTCTCAGCTTTTCAAGCGTATTTTCTCATTTGCCTGACTGCACTGCTGCTCAATGCGAATAGCTGTTATTTTTACAATCATAAAAACTACCACACGCATCGATAACGCGCTAATCTGAACTAGTATGCCCAAAGTGTGCTATATCAGAGCAAATCCCCTCCTCGTGCAACCGCCGGGTAGACGGGCTTTGAAAAAATGATTGATTGCACTTTGCTTCCAGTTGCCGGAAAGTGGCCGCTGTTTCTCCCTTTGCTGAAAAAGCAGCAATCCATCTGTGGAAAGTCATAGCGAGGGAGGAGTCAACAAGCGATCTTACAAGAGCTGGTGGATTGCCTTCTGTGAATCCGCAAGAGGAATGAGAAAAAACACCAACTTACTTCCCCCCCCCCTCCCAGCTCTGAATCTTTGCCCTTCACTTTGGTTTTTTTCAAGACTTCTAACTTCGTAGCATCAATATCATCAAAAATTTCAAGCTTTAGGGCTCCAAAGCCATTTAGAAGCTCAAAATTGCAAAAATTGCGATAAAATGGCATGCGAAGGAATTGAAACCTTGATCTCCTCAAGCAAGTCACTTACCACTAGGCCAGTTGCCACCAGTTGGTACTTCTCTACAATGCTCATAGATAAGGGGAGACCCACTGGAGGGCGCCTCAACCCCAGAGAGAAAACCCCTCATAAATCCTTTTACAAAACCGTTCCGCATCTAGAGATTATAGATTTGAAATCAGCGTTTTAAGCGCTTTAAGACGATATATTAGGTCGTTCCGAAAGTAATGTCGCATTTTTCAAATGAACGCCACATTTCATGGAACCAAGATTTTCAAGAGATCTTATAAGCATTCGATGCAGCATTTCATCCTCTTTCTAATAGTTGTAATTTCATTGCATAATTTTCATTGATCTTTCGAAAAATTAACAAAATCTGCAACTCATGCTTTTTGCCATGGTCAAGTTCGGCTATTTTTCTAAATTTTTGTACCTATGTTCCGGAGAAGTGCAAGTGACTGGTAGATAGAGCAAACCCTACAGGACATAGAGTGATTTTTTCTTTTCCTTAGCTTGCTTCTAAGAGTTTCTGGAATCAATTTTTCAATGCTATCAAATTCCATATTTGGTCAACTCAAACCTTACAGAACAACAACCGGCAAGCAACTCGGGTGTCATTCGACTCAGCTTTTTCTCCTCTTTTAACCAGTTGTTTTTGGTTTCCGATTCACAAAGTTTTCCGAGATAAAATCACCATAATTCAATTTTTCCAAGGCACCCCAAGGTGTACCCGAAATTTTCGAAAGTTGCTAATCTGAAGCGGTAAACGCTCATTTGCTTTGTAAAATTAGTGCAAAACCATAATCCATTTTTGTAAGTTTCAAAATCCGACGATTTCTTGGTGTTTGATGCATTTGTGTCTGAGACGAGCCTGCTAAAATTCGGTGGTTCCATCAAAAAATCTATACAGAAATTATGACGAGCTCTGAAAAATGGAAAAAAGTTGTGCTATTCCCCGTAGGGTTTGCTCTATCCATACTTAACTTGGACTCCTTCCGGGGGTTGTTATAAAAATTTGGAAAAATTGTGAAACTTGACCTTCTCAAAAAGCATGGGTCGCAGATTCCGATAATTTTCCCAGAGGTTATTCAATTTTGTGCGGTAGTTATAAGACCATTAGAAAGAGAATGAAATGCTGCATCAAATGCTACCAGAATCTCTTACATATCTTTGTTCCACGAAATGTGGCGTACGTTTGAAAAAAGCGGCATTACTTTCGGAACGACCTAATATGTCTCATTTGGATTGGTGCTTTCGGCTAAGTATCCTCCCCTTGTATGCCAAGATGAACGATAGCTGGTACCAGTGGCGCGCGGGGTCATGAACTGGCAATAACGTGTTCGCTCGAAGCTCCACCCTAATGCGGCGGACGACTTTCTCGGACGATACCGTCAAGTAATAATAACTTGATAGTGAGTTACAAGCTTGTTGCAAGCTGGGATGAAGCTTGCTATTTACAAAATCCTGTTTTGATTTTGTTTCTTTTTTGGCAGTCAATGAACGCTGATGTGGGATGACCGAATGACTCCTGGATATCCAACTTTGAAGTGCGAAATCAATCTAGAACACCTCAGGCATGCTTGTTTGAGTGACCTCACATCTTACGACTAGTTCACGCGCAATTTCGATTGAGTTACAGATCGATTTATACTGAGGATAGCAGTTTTTGAAAGCAAAATAAAAGAATTTTGATATTTGAAGCAGATTCGAGAATTTATAAGTGCAGTATGATTTTCCTGAAATCTGAGAAAATTTATGTGATATGATCGCAAATTTGCAAAACGAGTTGTTTGCTTGAAACAAAATTCGCCTATAATGCTTGCTTTGGATACTCGTCGCAATGAAATCTGTTTTTAGCTATGATTAGGGATTTAAAACTTAATTTTCCGATAAAAGAGACAATGGTGTTGGTCATTTCAACAATAATAATAGTATTTCTGATAAGCTGACTTTTTTTTAAACTAAACTTGAGAGTGCACAACAAAGCATATTCAAAATGGTAGCAGATGTGAATAGAGAAAAACACTTTTCCGAGCATTTTCGAAACAATTTCCTCATACCTGCAATGAAAAATCATTTTGGACAAGCCTACTAGGAACAAATATAATTGAATTACATTAGAAAGAGCTTGCGAACTAATTTTATAATGAAAAATGATCCGAAAACTGATTTTAATTCAAAATTTTGAAATCTACTGTTATCCAAATTATAAACAACTGGAGAAGCATGAACGAAGTATTAGAGAGTTTTCCAATAGCTGCAACACATTCCTAGGCTAATTAACAAGGGGCGGAGCGATCAGCGCGCCCCGGACGGTGCCCAGCTGGTGGCTGGCACATGCTATCGTTCATCTTGACCGCCACCCCCTTTGCCGCTGCCATCCAGATAAATTGGAGGGCTATAATTAGGCGAGGAGGAGAGGGTTTGAGGAGGTACAAGAATATGTTTTGTAGAATATTAGATCTAGATTACTTTCATGTAAAAAATTTGAAAAGATTATGTGAAGAATAGGAATCATATAACTTTGTTTGCGATAAGCCACCTCAGGTAACTATCCAGGTGGCTTGAAAGCCACCTAACCCCGAAAAAAGTTTGCCATGCCTTTGGTTCACATAATTTTTCACACATAGTCCCAACTCCCCATTGCCCATCTACACACCTATTCTAGTGCCATTTCATCTGCACTTCGCTGTAAACAAACCCTTTGTTTATTTGCTGGCGGTATGCCGGCAGCGCTATGCTCTTCCGCAAAAACGATATCCCCTTTGCTTTTCCCCCAAAAACGATATCCAGCTTGCTTTGCAAGCCACCTGTGCCGAGGCCTGCTTACAAGGAATGCTTGTTTAGTCGAAGTGGCCTTTTTTGATGGAATGTACACCTATTGTAGAGCATAAAATGCTAATTCCAAATCTGCCTTCCGTATCTGCAGAACGTTTATGGACGAGAAGTTATGAGCGTTTTTTGGAGTTAAAAATTGAATGTGCAAGTGTGACAAAAATAACCGTAATACTTTTTCTAGCTCTTCAACGGAGCAATGATAATCACCAAAACACACTTGAAAATTACTCTAAAATAAAAATTATACCACACTCGGTTACGTTATTTAAAGGCTAGTAAGATTCTAACAACTCATTTTATTTAAAATGCACATTCAATTTTTGGCTCCAAAAAACGCTCATAACTTCTCGTCCATAAAAGTTCTGCAGATAAGGAAGACAGTTTTGGAATCAGCGTTTTATGCGCTTTAATATGGTATACATCTAATTTGGAAAGGCCTCTTCGACCAAACAAGCTTCCCTTGTTAGAAAGCATCGAAAAAAACTTATTTTCGCCATTTCCATACTCTTGAAAGCCCAGATATGGGCTCTTCATGGCGAGAAGATAAAGAACTGAACGGCGAAATTTTGTCGACCTTTAATTCTTAACTTTGGATAATAGTCCGTTAGAAAATAACTTTTATGCAATACACAATTTCACTCTTTTTTGCTGCGTTTCAGAACCGCAGGAAAAAGATTGAATTCGTATGCTTCAGGCGAATATCAAATCTGCTGCTCATAAAATATCTATTTCCTCAGTTACCGACTTTGCTGCAAGCGTCCTCAAAGAGTTGGAAAATCAAAGTTCTCCACTTTGATTGGATTTCTTCCAAAGTGGCAGAGTGCAAAAGTGCCAAAGAAAGTTCTGGGCTATTTAGATTGCGGAAGATTGTGCACTGTAATTTTGAAGATTGCGCAGTCGCTTTTGCCACGGTTTGCTTCTCCTCCCGTGACAAGAAATCATAATAATCTCAACCAACCGAACCTCCACAATGCTTTGTAAGTTTAGAGGCAATGGGTCGACAAAACGGATTCTTCTTGAACTTGGGTGAATTCAAGTAGTAGTCCCCTCAAGT